GGACCTCTTTAGGAACCCTTTGGGAGTAGAACGCCAGACCGTGCGCAGGAGCAGAGCTGGCTCCCGTGATGCCCCATGTACGAGCTCAGATAACGCAGTGTACCGACGGGAAGTTCCTCGGGATCGAGGTGGAGGACGGAAGAGCCTGGCGTAGAGGATGAGTTCGTCCAACTCTACCTCTCACCCCTCTGACTCGGGGGAGGAAGCGGCAGCGGGCCGCGCGAGAGAGCAAGGCGGAAGACGGAGGGGGAGGCGGGGGGCAGAGCCAACTGCGCCGCACGGACTGCAGCCGGGGGCACTCCTGGCCTCCGAGCCTCACACTCTTCAGCTCGGCACTCGCAGCGACGCCGCTTCTGCAGATCATCGGCCGGGCCCGCCCACTGGCGGGTGCATGCGCCGCACTGGGCGGCCGTGCCACGCTTCGCGGCCGTCGGCCCAGGGTGAACTGCTGATGCCCCATCTTTGAGGTACCACTGTCGTGACAGGATGCGCGCCAGAGTGGCATGCTCCCTTCAAGGCACACTCTCATGCTGGCACCCTGCATTGCCCCTACTTTGCCTTGGCTGCGCGCTCGCGCTTGCGGCGCTTGTCCTCCTTGTAGCGCAGGTGGTCCAAGTACCCACTGAGAGATTCGACTCTCTGCTCGATGGACTTGGGCACCGCCTTGCCCTGTTTGTGCTCGCCCCTGTCCTCGTTACAGGCGTCGCTGACCACAAAACGGCTATCGATCTTCTTCGCCTTCATTTCCTTGACCTAGGAGCCAGTAGGAGGAGGAGTGAGGAGAGAAGAGGAAAAGGAGGACGAGGAGGAGGAATGCGGAGGAAGAGGATCGATGATCGTTATCCTCCCTGCCTTCTCCTACTGTTGCTTCTGCTGCTGCTCCTCCTCCTCCTCCTCCTCCTCCTCCTCCTCTTCATCCTCCTCCTCATCATCCTCCCACCTCCTGCTCCTCTTCCTCATCCTCATCCTCCTCCTCTTCTTTTTCTTAGTATCATTATTTTCATTGTTATTATTATCCCTCTTCCTCCTCCTCCCTTCCTCCACCTCCTCCTCCTCCTCCTCCTCCTCCTCCTCCTCCTCTCCTCCTCCTCCCCCCCCCCTGCCTCCTCCTCCTCCTCCTTCCTCCTCCTCCTCCTCCTCCTCTCCTCTTCCTCCTCCTCCTCTCCTCCTCCTCTCTCCCCCTCCCCTCCTCCTCCTCCTCCTCATCCTCCTCTCCTCCTCCTCCTCCTCTCCTCCTCCTCCCCTCGCGTCTCCTCCTCCTCCTCCGCGTCGTCCTCCTCCTCCTACCCCTCCTCCTCCTCCTCCGCGTCGTGTCCTCCTCCTCCCCATCCTCCTCCTCCTCCTCACCTCCTCCTCCTCCTCCTCCTCCGCCGCGTCGTCGTCCTCCTCCTCCTCCTCCTCCTCCTCCTCCTTCTCCTCCTCCGCGTCGTCGTCGTCGTCCTCCTCCTCCTCCTCCTCCTCCTCCTCCACATCCTCCTCCCCGTAGATCGGGTTGCCGCCCGAGGCGGCGCGCTGTTGGCCACGAGGAAGTCGAGGCCCGCCTCCTCGAGCAGGGGCGCACAGACGTCGGTAGCCTTCTTCAGCTCCTCCTCGAAGGCCGAGATCACCTGGCCAGCCTGTGGCCGAAAGGCGAGAGGCGAGGGAGGACGAGGAGGACGAGGAGAACGGGGAGGACGGACCCGGACGGACGTGGACGGCGCAGGGAGGAAAAGGGGAATTATAATCGGCACAAGCATCAACTTTCAGAGCTCGGCGCGGATTTCTCGGATCGGCGCCAGGTCCTCTGGTAGCGCCTCCAGCGCCACCCCTGGCGCGCTCAGCGCGCCAAGGGGGGGGGCCAATGCGGATCCCAAAAATCCGTGTGGAGCCCTGAAATTTTCAATGTGGGCAGATGTTCTTGAAGGGCGGGGGGGAAATGGGGAGGAGGGGGGTTTCGAGGCTTTCAAAGGTTCAATCGACGGTTTTCTAAAGTTTTCGGGCGCTCTCAGAGGCTTTCTCGCGAGGGAGGAAGAAGAGGCGCGGGGGCCAGATTTCCGACGATATGGTATACGTTTAGCCAATGTGTTTTCCTCGATTAAAACAGATCGGGGGGGGTGAAACATCAGTTCTTGCACCGACCAGGTGTTCCTGGCATGCGCGCTGCCCCCAAGGCGAAACGCTGACACTTCCTTTTTGCCTTGGCTTGGGCGTCTGCCCCACACGGTGTTTGCCTCCTTGGCTGCCTCTCCCCCCCTTCGCGTGCGCACTCGCCGCGCCGCCCGCCACCGCCCCGCTGCTTTTGCGGCTGGACTCGCCGCTGCTTGGCTGGCCAGGCTGCGTTCCGCTCCGCCCGGCTGCGTTGCGTGCGCCTGCCGGGCCGGGCGCTCCTATAGCCCCCCTCTTCCCGCGCCGCCACGCCGCCGCCCGGGCCGCCGCCGGGCCAGCCAGCGCTCCAAACCCAGCTGCACCGCCTCAGCAATCACAAGCATCCCGGGGTCCTCGTCTGGCAGCGCTCTGGCCACGCGCCTCGGCGCAGCTCCTCGCAGGCTTCTCGCACGGTCATTTGGGCCGTGTTCCAGCTGGCACCGACCCTCTGCAGCAAAGCCTGACGCTCTCGGCATCGAGGTGGACCATCGTCGGATGCTCTGGCTCCTGCAGCCGTGGGTCCTCTTCATGTTCTCTGTGGCGCACTGCTTCGCCTTGCTCCGCACGCCCCTGCGCCTGCAGCCCTTGTTTCAACTCCTGGGCGTGGTCGCGACGCCGCCCCGCGCCCACTGCCAGGTCACCTCAGCCCTGGCTGGCCGCCCCGGCGCGCTCATCCTGAAATTATTTGCCGCGGTGATTGCCCTCCGCCCCTCCTGTCCTCCGCGATTTGCCGCGCCGCGACAAAAAAGTGCCCCCCCGTGGGCCCGATATCGAGCCCCTGGGCCATCAAACGTGGATCCGCGACGAGAGAAAAAAACACTACTCCAAGGGAAATGGTCGGGACCTCTGGGGCCGCGGACAAAAAAGAGCACATCGACGGATGTCGGTGTGGGAGGGGGGGGTCAAGGTACCCCGCCTCGTCGAGAGCGTTCCGGCGGTGCCCGGGTCGTCGCGAACGGCCGCCAGAGGCCAAAGCTATGTCCAAAAGGCCAGACCTCCTCGAATGGAGGCACCCAACGTAGAGGGTGGGTTCGTCCAACTCTACCTCGCACCCCTCTGACTCGGGGGAGGAAGCGGCAGCGGGCCGCACGACCAACAAAGAGGAGCAACGGCGGCGGCAGACACCGCGGCCAAGGAGGCGGGGCAGGGAGGTGGCTTGGGCAAGCCTGGCCTGTCGAGCGGCAGGCCCGGGTGGCCGAAGACGGCGGCGGCGCGCGGGGCCGCCGTTTCAATCGCGACCAGCTCATGAGACGGAACACGAAGGGAGAAAGAGGGGCGCATAGCAGCGGCGCCAGCAGAGCCCAGGAGCGAAGGGCGATGGGGGCGGAGACGACAGGCTGCAGGCGCATGGGGAACAGCATGACACGGCGCGAGCGCAAGGGGGAGGAGAAGCGAGCGGGGGGCAAGCAGCGGCAGAGGCAGAGCTCAGGGGCGACGGGCGGGCAGGGGGAGGGCGGGCGCTGTCAACGACGCGCGCGTCCGGTGGGGGGGCCAGTGAGGAGCAACGGGTGCGCGGGGAAAATTGGGGCGGAGTGAGTGGGTGGGGCGGCCACGGAGCGCGGGCAGTCGGGGTGCCCATGCTGCGAGCGATGCTGCAAGCGATGCGAGCGGCAGATGGAGGAGCGGGGGTGGACGGGACCCACTCGCGCAGATGGGGGGGCAGGGGGCGGTCGAGAAAAGCGGAAAGCCAGGAGAAGAAAACAACGGGAGCGAGGGGATGGGCAGGCTCACTCTCCCCAGGATGGGCTCCGTCGACAGGCAGCGCGGCGGACGGCGGCTCGCCAGCGAAGGAGGAGCGGTGGGAGGCATCGAGCACGCGGGGCAGGGCGCCACTGGTCTTCGCGGCGACACAAGGTTTCTCGCGGCAATCGATGCAGGGGGCGACATCGCACAGCTCGGAGACACTGACCTTCTCGGAGCAACTAATCTTCGCGGCGTCACTGATCTTCCCGCAGCTATCGAGGCCGAGAACGACATCGCACAGGTCGGGGTCACTGACCTCGTCGGCGCAACCGATCTTCTCGAAGAAGGCGCCGCACGGGGAGGGGCCAGCCTGCCAACAACCGCGGATGAGCCCGACAGGGGCGAGCGTGCGCCATCGGGGCCCTCGCGTGGTATCGATGATCCTGACCGCGACAGCGGGGCACGCGTTCTGGCGCGACCGCGCGCGCGGGGGCCAGCATTTCCCCCGGCAGGTGGCGACGTCGAGCCCGAACACGACAACGGGGCTTGCGATCTAACGCCAAGAAGCACAAGGCCCGCGCCGAGGCATCCAGCGCGTCGCGACGTCGAGCCCGAACGCGACAACGGGACTTCCACTCTAACGCAAGCGGCGGAGGACACGCCGCACGACCCAGCGGCAAGTGGCGACGCTGAGCCCGAAAGCGACAACGGGACTTGCGCTCTAACGCCGAGCCGGGGAACCGCCAGAGAGGAAGACGCACGTCCAGCAAGCGGCGACGCTGGGCCCGCGCCACCAGGCGGGACTTGCGCTCTGACGCCAGGTGGCGGAACCGAAGGCGACGGGCAGCGGGCAATGGCGCCGTCGGGGAGGATGACGCCAGAGGGCCTCGGGAAGTCGCGGGCCTCCACCAGGTCGTCATCACAGATGTCCACAGACGGTTGCGGCGTAGCAATAGCAGAGGGCGAAGTCGTCGGCGCGGGCGACGAGGTGGGCGACAGGGATGTAGACGCACACCGCGGTTTCGGCGCAGACCGCCCAGCACGTGACAGCGGGGTCCCTGAAGCGAGCTCGGGCGACGTCGTGTCACTGTCAGAGTCGGGGGGGACGGGCGGCGTAAGTCTCGGAGACGAAGGAGGCGAAGAGGGTTATGAAGAGGACGATGGGGCCACGTGGTAGTCGCGCCGACGGAGCACTTCGCGCTCTTGCTGAGAGGCGCGGAGCGGGGCGGCGAGCTGCATGGCGCGCGCGCCCGAGACAGCGCAGCTCCGAATGACGGGCGAGGGAAGCGGCCAAGCGTCAGAGAGCCGCGCCTCGTTGCACATGTGGTAGGCGGCCGTCATCGCGAAGAAAGCCGCAAGCGAAGGCTGAGAAAGGCCCCGCCCCATCGGCAAGTCGCGCGGGAAAGGGCGAGCGAGCGCAGATCGAAGGGCACGGTGCATCGCAAGGCAGCTCACGTAGTGGCGGGGCGAGTCGAGCTTCCCCGGGCAGCCGGAAGAGCAGACCCGCTGACCGCGCGGGAAGATGATGAGAGCGGACGTCATCCACCCGCCAGCCCAAGTGCGAAGGACGGCCCAGACCCAAGAGCACGGGCAGCGACGAAGAACACTCTGGCACGCGCCCCAATCGATGGTGCGGAGGAGATGCTGTGAGCGGCCAGCGAGCTTGCGAAGGCGGAGCGCGGGCGCGGCCGTGATCGGGCGCGCGGACAGGGCCACTGAGCGAACAGCACGGCGCGCAGCGCGCTGAAGGCGCAGGCGCGGAGGATCGCCTTGATCCAGAGCTTAGCGCGCGGCAGCAACAGCATGAGGGCCCAGCGCGGCGAGCGGGCCGCGCGGAGGTGGCCCAGCCGCAGCAGCCTCGAGTTTCTCGACGAAGGCGGGAGACTGCCAAAACGAAGGGCACGGCTTACCAGAGGCCAGCGTCCCCAGGGTGGCCCAAGACGGGTTGTCGGCTGCGTCGCGGCGAAGTTGAAGCAACCACTTCTCCCGCCTCGGGAAGTCAGCAGCGCGGCCCTGGCGATGGAGGCAATGGCGACGTGGCCCCGGCGGGTGCAGCGCGGGCCGCCCCGCTGTTCGAGCTGCACCCAGGTGTCGAGCGCGAACGTGCCAAGCGGAATACGGAACACCTGTGCGAGAGCAGCAAGCTCAGGCTGAAGCGCGGTGGCTGGCGGCAAGCAGAACTGGGCAACGTAGGAGATCGTGGGGGCCGCGCGTGTGTTGCACAGTGTCGAAGAGAAGCTGGCAGGAGTGGCTCCCCGCCCAATGGCTTGAGCCCGAAGCCGCAACTTGGCAACAGGGTCGGTCCAACACGAGCACGGGGCGACGCCGGGGCCCAGCCAGATACCCAAGTATAAGAGGGACGGGGAGACCTCGAAAGAGCTCCACTCGGGGGCCACCGGCGAGACCTGCTGCGAGACCCGCTCAGCAAGAGGCTGCGAGGACCTGTCATTTAGGGGGCCAGCTTGAATTTGGAGACCTTCAAAACGAGATTGGCCATCGAGTCGGCCAGAGACATGGATAGCCCTCTGGATGTGGACCAGGTGGTGGGCCGCCTTCAAGGCGCCCCCGACGTCGTCAGCACAGGCCCTCGCGAGGCTGGGGCCCAGGTCTTCAACGCGCGAAACCAAGTCGATCAGAAACACAGCAGCACTAAGAGCGAATGGAGTTCCAGAGAGGGCGCGCCCTTGGATAACGACGCCCCGAATCCAAAATATGCGCACCAGGGAGCCTAAATGCGAGAAAACGCCCTCGACAGACTCGCGAGAAAAGAAAGAGAGCGGGCAAACGCAGTCCAGGGGGCACAGGACGG